TTTTTTTTGTTTTTTGTTTTTGCAAAACGTGCAAAGATACACACATGAAATTTCTTATGTGCACCCTCCACACAGACCCCAATCAACCCTGAAAATGTCATTGAAATCGGACAAGCCGTCTAGGAATGATAGAAATCTCTTATGTGCACCCTCCACACAGACCCCAATCACTTCTGAAATTTTCATTTTATGTGCACCCTCCACACAGACCCCAATCACCCCTGAAAATTTCTTTGATATCAGGCAAGCCGTCTAGGAGGAGTATGCGAACAGGAAATTTTGCCACTTAATTTTATATATATAGATGTATAAAATGTATAAAAGCGTAAGGAACATACAATACATATATGTATATATCATATATATCAGTCCTTCATAGTTTAAAAATTCATCTTAAAAAAAATTAAATTTCTCAATTTCAAAAAATCATTCATCAAATTCAACAAAAAAACAAATTAAGCATATATGTATAACTTTTTCATGCCAAGTATGAATAAATTCTCCAAAGGGCTAAAAAAGGGCTAGGGGCAATTTTAAATATATGTGGCCAAAAAAAGTATGTGGTAGCTAACTCTAGCCACCAAAGGGCTAAAACGGCAACATTGCTGGCAACACTGCCTGCCAGTCTGGCAAAAGAGCAGATCAGCTCAGCAATGACTGTTGTCAACCAGGGATGAAAAAGTAGGTACATTGTACCTTTTTCCGACGTTTGATGACTTAAAGGTACATTAGGTACAGTCAGTAGATTTTAGGTACAATTAATATTATTGACCCATATTCGCTTTTTGATTTCTGGAAATATATTTAAAATGCTTTCGAAGTTACTTACGGCAATTTGATTATTTTCTCTAGACTTGTTGCACCTATTAAAATGAATCGGATAAAATAGCATGTCGGCCGCTGTGGTGTAGTGGTAAGCAGTGCGCGCTTCCACTCCGCAGCTCCAGGGTTCAAACCCTGGTCCAAGCAACATCGCAAAAATATAGAAAAAAGGTATTTTCTTAACAGCAGTCGTTCCTCGGCAGGCAATGGCAAACCTCCGAGTGTATTTCTGCCATGAAAAACAGCTTCTCGTAAAAATACAATCGCCGTTCGGAGTCGGCGTAAAACTGTAGGTCCCTCCGCTTTGTTTGACAACATCAAGGCGCACGCCACAAATCGGAGGAAAAGCTCGGCCAAACACTAACATATGTGTAAGCGCCAATCTATTATTATTATTATAAATTAGCAGACTTTTCGTGTTGTTGCTGGATAAAGAAGTATACTTCGCAAAGTGTGTTTTTTGTCTTTTTCGCTAATATTTCTCAGTAGTCGTAATTAGACAAAAACAACGCTTCTCCGATTCCCATTAGACTATAATCTATGGATATAGGCTCAGTTAAAAAAAAAAAAAAAAAACGAATCATGTTTAAAGTACATCCATTAGACTGCATCACCTAAAAAAGTTGTGGTTTTTCCGCCGGGATTACAAAATTTATTATATTTTAAGACGTCCACCAATATATTTCGGAAAAATATTAAGATTTAAGTGAGCTGGACCGATTTTAAAATACCTCCAAAAATGTATTTTTTTATGAATAAAAATAGTTTCTTAAAGAACTTATGGAAAAAAGTCCCCTCAGATGACAAAACAGATTAAGCTTAAAAAATCTGCATAAAAATATTTAACAATCGTTTAAACGGAATCGTAAGAATGAGATTTTTGATGCTGTTTTTTTACTTTTTTCAAAGATTGATTTACGAAAAACTTGAATAACTTGGCCAAAACTATTCTGATTTAGACTTATGGGATCTCAGTTGAAAGGTATTTTCACACTGTTTTTATTTCTGTCCAAAAAAAAGTCATTTGTGTCCCAATATGTTTTTTTCGAATACCAACACATCTTAATTCAACTCTGAATGACGTTCCTTCATCCTACCTTTCTCTTTCATCCTTTGAATGAGTTTATTAGCAAAGAAATAAAAAGGTAGAGAAAATACCTTTCTAATGACACCTCCTAAGTCTAAATCGGAAGAGTTTAGGTTCAGTTATTCAAGTTTTTGTTATACCAATCTTTAAAAAAGTTAAAAAACAGCATCAAAAATCTCATCATTACGATTTTGTTCAAAATGTTTTTTAAATATTTTTCTGCAAATTTTTTAAGCTTAATGTCATTGTATATGCTTTCCTTGGATTTATTATTGTTTTTGCCTGTTTTATTGCGTGTTTTACTGCCAGTTGGTAGTCATCGGTTGGGTCATTTCTCATCATCCGACAATTTGTCTCTGTGATTAGTTGCTCTGTCTTTTCTTTATATTCTTTTTCGTACATTATTACCGTTGTGTTCCCCTTGTCTGCTTTTGTTGTCATTACTTTATTCGTTTTGAGTTTTTTCTTTAGCCCTTTGACAGTTTTATTTTTTTCGCTTAGTTTTTTCTTCATGGATTTTATGCTTTTTTTAATTATACGTCTACATATGCGTCTTGCCTGATCTTGATCCTCGCTTGGTAGTAATGATATGGTCATTTCCGCGTCTACAATAGTGTGCTCTATCTCTTTATTTTTATCATAATTTTCTATGTTGTGTTTCAGACCTTTTTCCAATATTTCTGTCTCTTGTTTGCTAATGGGAACCTTAGTCAAATTTACGAATCTGGAATGGAAAGGCATTTCGCTGTGTTGTATGTTCTTTGTGATGTTTTGCTTTCTATTGAGGTCATCGAGTTTTTTGTTTAATTTATTTATTTTTGTCCCATATTCTCCTTTATTTCATCTAATATCTCCAGGAGCGTGCTAACAGGAAGGAGTTCCGCTAGTTCTAAATGAATGGAAAGTAGCTCCTCATTTGTGCGTTTTTTTTGGCATACAGGTTCTTAATCTCATGTCGAAAGAAGCTGTTTTCTGCTCTTTTCAAGATTTTTCGCCTTTTCTCCGTGCTCGATTTTAGACTAATTCTTGCGAATTTCGGCGTAACATTTCGTGTTAAACATTGTTTATTGAATCAGATGTTTGCGTTGGTGTTGTGTATTTTCAATTGTCTTCTTTGGTATGTTGTCAAAAGCGTAATCGTCCTTGAGTGATAAGCCTGACTGGCATTAATATTCTCATTTTCGTTGCTGGTGTTTCCGACAGGGTAGGAGTGTGATGTAATGTGGAACGATTTTCCGTCATCCCTTGTCAAATTTGGTTTGGAGACAAACTGGTTTCGGCCTTGTGCCATCTTCAGTGTCATTTTTCGTTCTGAATAGTTTCTGTTTGTCTGTCACTATTTATAGCCGTGTTAAATCGTCGTTGGTTCATAGTTAGGTACGTCTCAGCGGATTATATTCTTTCGTTCAACCAGTAGTTTCAGTTCTGTGTGTACATCCTCAGGTAGAAATTAGCTGCTCACCTCTTTTTTTTTTTGATTAATTGTTGCATGGATTCGCAGGTAGGTAAAAATCAGTTATTTTCTTTCTCTTTGTTTTTGTAGTTTGGACCTGAATTTCATTGTTTACGGTAGTTGCAGGGTTTCTGTTTTGTTTTGCGTATAGTAGCCTGAGTGGTTCGAATAATATATCAGATGCCGTGTTTATTTGCTCATTTATTATTTTTCCGACGAACGTCTTTTGTTTGTATATCTCCATATTCTCTAATACGTTTAGGCGTTGTCCTTTGTGCTGTACATGGAGAACAACTTTGGCTATCTTTCCTATTTTCATTGGCGTACAATGGTTTTCTGTCATATGGTTTGCGAAGTTCGATTCCGGGGTGGTAGAAGGTGTCAGTATTTTTTTTGTTGTAGCCCCTTATATGTTCACGATATCTTGTTTTTATCTTGCGCCATGTTTGTCCTTTGTAACATGTCTTATTGTCCGTTATTATAAAATACAAATTTGGTGTGAACATTAGGTGGCGCATCCAAGTTTGTTTTTGAATAACTCTGTTACTAAATTAAAAAAAATTTGAGTAATGGAAATCTTTACAATCTTTTATGTTAAGTGGAAAAGATACCATCGATAGTGTCGTTTTTAGGTTTTTACTATCGATATTTTTAGCCGCCATCGATAGTATTTATGACTATGTAATAAATAGTAAATTTTCTCAGTAATCAATTTTCCGATGTGGTTTTATTGTGTTAAGTTGCAAAATATAAAGAATTAATAGCGAAATGTTAAAAACGGCGATTTTTGTGAAAGTATCAGCAAATTTATGTACATCTAAAGTTTCTGAGGCGGTTTACCTTAACTTGAGAATTTTCAAAATCGCCAAATCCCAATTAGCTGTTTCTGGAACGTGCCACATTTGTTCGCTACTTGGTGATGTGATAAAAAGAAAAGCTGGCAGCACTCCGCAAGGTTGCAGAAATCTCTTAAAATATGTCCGAAAAATATTTTGATATGGAAGGAACTGCTTTATACTGTCAAGGAAAAATCTTGCACTTTATTATACTAAAATTAAATTTTTTAGTGTCTAATTAAAATGTTTGCAATTTAGGTGAAACCTTGCAGAATTTTTTAAATTTTTGTACAAAGTTTGGTCCAACCCTAGAGATGTACCACATTTTTTTGAAATCTACCACATCTTTTACAGATTCTACCACACAGAATATTTTTAAAGTCCGATCACTGTTTCCAACCTCTTACGCTCTGGCGTTAACCTGCCAACTTGCCGCAAGCAACGTATCGCATATAGATGCACGTTGGTCATTTACGTTCGACTATTATTGGAGAGTCCATTTGTCGTTTTTTGGAGTTTCTGGGGCACGATGATCGCACGAACAAATCAAGGCTATCACAGAATCCATCATAGTCCGATTTTCGTGAAATTTACGAAAATGCTATTGAATTCAAGTAGCTACGAGCTACAGCGTATGATTTAAATACATACGTTCGTAGCAGTTTAGATTCAGTGATCGCTTTTTCGTAGATTTTATAAAAAATCGGACTACGATGGATTCCGTGATAGCCACCAACATGAATTCTACTTTGACAAGATGTTGGAGAATCGCGACAACACAGCCGTATACCTACTATATGCTTTTACGCGCATAGGCTAAATTTCTCGCACCTAGCTTAAGTGTTTGACGAAGGCTGAAGGCATATCTTCACCATTATAACTTAAAATAAAAAAGTTTAAGGCATGCAATAAAAGAATACCAAAAAGTGTTCTCAAAACTATTAAACATAAAAAATTGCACTAATAAAATCCATAATTTAAAATGAAATAAAATATCGCAATTGTTTTTATATGTCCATATTTTTAAAATGAATCTTATGCACTCACAGTAAGTCCTAAACCTATAAATGACTAATAAGAAAAACCAGTGAACCCGCATGGCGTTAAAGCGCCAACATTTAATTAAATCTTTCAAAGAAGTGAAACCCTATTTAAAGACCTCAAAAAATATTCCTAATGGTTAATCTAAACCATTTCTCAGTGATGAGAGGTCTCGCATGATGTCGGTTTTCATTTCATCAAATTTCAAATCTCCCTGTAACTTCAAAAAATAAAACCTGTGCAAATCTAGGTAGAATCCCAGTTCTTTAATTTGACTTCTCATTTTGGAAATTCGAAATAACGGTGCATATGTGATGACCTCCACAAAAATAGATGGCAACTCTAATTAAAAATGTATCAGCCTAGTTTTCTGAAAACTCTTCCGTTTGACACTAGTATTTCGATATTTCATTTACAGCGTGGCGACGAATAACTGTTACCCAGGTTTTTTTGAGAAATAAAAGGGTCCTTTATAGATTTTGCGAAAAAAGTATTTTATCGTTAATTTTTCACAGATTTTACTTTAATTGTATTAATTAGTTTGGAAATTTTAATCCCTATTTACATTTGCTAGCAGTGTAAACTTTTAGGGAAAAGTTCATTTGGCACGCAGGTCTTCGTCAGTTAATTTAATCCATATCTTCTGTAACCATGGGCTTATTTTCTTCATTTTGAGTCCCTTATACTCCCCCTTTTGTCCAACATAAGGTCTCATACTCAAAAATCGAATAGGCTTGGAACTGGTGACTAGGACGGCCATTCCTTCGACCAACCTTATAAATTTTTTTCTTTTTTGTACAAAGCCTAAGAAAAAGTACACCTGAAAAAGACTTGCGTGCCAAATGAACTTTTCTTTCCAAGTTTAAACTGCTGGCAAATGTAAATAAAGATTAAAATTTTAAAACTAATTAATGCAACTAAAGTGAAATCTGTGGAAAATTAACAATAAAATACTTTTCTCGCAAAATCTATAAAGGACCCTTTTATTTCTCAAAAAAATCTGGGTAACAGTTATTCGTCGCCACGCTGTATGTATCTTTCGCACAAGTAATACAAATTCGACTTTTCAAACAGGTGGCAACCCCTTTAAAAGTATTTTCAAACTAAAATTTTTTGCCTGGCATTGTTATACATATTTTAATTAACTGATGAATTAAGTTGAATTTAATTTTTTTAACCACATGGCAACTCTCCTAAATACAGTTTAGAAATAAATTATTTTCAAACCCAATTCGATTGATACCCATCTTTTGATAATCCATTTAACTTATTAAATAATTTGAGCTTAATTTTTTTAACAAAAAAAACCAAATGTTAAGCTAAAAGATTTCTTAACACTCGTTCTTTTGATAACCGTAATTTAAAATTTCATGTAACTTATGTATAATTAAACGAAATACCACTTTCAAATGAGACGGCAACCCTCTTAAAAATTATTTTCCGAACTAAAATTTCCTTAAATATTTTTCGTCCGACATTGTTATAAATATTTCATGTAACTGATGAATTAAGTGGAAATTTATTTTTTAAACACGTGGCAATCCTCCTAAATATAGTTCTTAAATAAAGGATTTTAAACCCATTTCAATTGATAACCATTGGTTAGTAATTCATTTAACTTACTAAATAATTTTAGTTTAGCCCTTTAAACTAGGGCAACCCTCAAACACATCAAATATGTTCTAAATTGTCAAACTAAGTATTTCGTGAAGCTCTTTCATTTGACATCCATCGTTAATATTTCATATAAAAAATAGTTCAATTAGACTTCCCAAATAGGTGGCAACCCTATTCAAAATATTTTCAAACTACTACGTTCTTAAACCTCTTTTGTATGACACCCATATAGCGATACCTTATTCACTTACCAAATTCCTTTAATTAAAATTGAATTAAATTTTTTTTTTTAAATGTGGCAACCCTCCTATACGTAGTTAAGTTATAAAGCCTTTTCAAACCCATTTCGATTGATACCCATATTTAATAATTGATTTAACTGTTTAATTAATATGAGCTTATTTTTTAACAGGTGGTAACTTTTTTCGAAAAACTGAAACCTTCTTGAACATCCAAACCCTAAGCCCTTTAATTTGGTACCTCACTTTTGAAAATCGAACGGACGGTGCGGTCTGAGGGCATTGATTAGAAAATAACTTGAGTCTAATTATTTAACAGGTGACAACTCCTTTCGAAAAAGTAAAACCAGTTTGCACATCTACAGGCCAAGCGCTTTAATTTGACACCCACTACCATCCATCTGTGGTAATTTCGTCAAAACGTAATACTTTTATGTTTTTCAATTTATTTAACGTTCCAATGTTGTTTATATGTTTTTCAATGTATTTAACGTTCTAATGTTTTTTATATGTATGTGCATTTATGTGAAACTTACTTACTTAATTTAAGTGTACATAATCGCCCCTGATGATGCTAAGGTAGTTAGCGAAACGTTGGGCAAAGAAGTGGAGAAAAAAGTGTTTTTCTTGCACATGGAGAAGTAGATCGACCAGCCTCAAAACAGTTTTGACGAAATTACCACAGATGGATGGTAGCAATACTTTTATGTTTTTCAATGTATTTAACGTTCCAATGTTGTTTATATGCTTCTCAGTTATTTAACGTTCTAATGTTTTTTATATGTATGTGCATTTATGTGAAACTTAATTACTTAATCTAAGTGTACATAATCGCCCCTGATGATGCTAAGGTAGTTAGCGAAACGTTGGGCAAAGAAGTGGAGAAAAAAAGTGTTTTTCTTGCACATGGAGAAGTAGATCGACCAGCCTACAACAATACCAACATATAACAAAAACTCGATCAAAAGCTTAGAAACAATCCTTACTAATATTATAAATCCGAAAGTGAGTTTGTTTGTTTACTTTGCTTTCACGCCTTAACTACTCAACGGATCATCATGAAATTTTTTTTTCTCGATTTTAATCTCGATTAGATAAGGGGGCGTGGCACCTCCCATACAAACGGAAATTTTCATACAGCATTTCTCAGGAAATATTTTTGATATATTACTGGAACTTGATACGCAGATATATAAAATCATTATCCACTCATGGATGAGGGCTGAATATATTTTTAAAAGGGTTGCCACCTGTTTGAAAAGTCAAGTTTAAATTGGTTATGCGCAACCTATCTGAAGAATTAAAATGTAGTTGTCAACGAAATATTGTTAAAAAGCCTTTGGTTTGAGAGTTTTGAATAATATTTAAGTCTTTCACAAGGGTTGCCACATTTTTAAAAACTAAGTTAAATTATTTTAATTTAAATATTACAGTATAAGGCGCGCAATGGTTCTGGTGGTTGATTTATCGGTGGTGACTTGAAATTTACCACTGCACAACTCAACCCTGGTATCTCAGAATGAAGCTTTAACGCATAATAATACTGGCATATCACGTCCATTGGGCCAATCGTAACACATAAGAGTTCGATATACTCAATGGCGCAACAGGTCGATTTAATTTGACATTCACGGCACCTTTTCTAACTTGGCGTTTATTCGTAATGACTCCAGCGCTATCTGGCAGCCCTTTTTGGCAATAGTATTGCCTTTACCGTTACCAATAAATATTTTGAAGTGGATGATAAATAAAATTTTTAGTAATAACTTCACTACAGCGCCAATTGGCGGGTGAAGTTTTGTAAATACACTCTCCAGAGAGCCACTCAAAAGTACACAATAAACTTCGTTAAAATCGGTCCGGGCATTTAGAAGGATTTCACTCACCAACACACAGACACAAGAATTATATATAAACTTTTTTGCGGTGCCATGACCCCTTTTCAAATAGCCCATTTTTCTCCATGAGTATAAGATTGATTTCATATATTGCCGTACCAAGTTCCAGTAGTCTACCGTGAACACTTCCAAAGATATGCAGTATGAAAAAATCGGTTTGTATGGGAGGTGCCACGCCCCTTCATATATCAAAATTTTTTGCCTATAACCATCCTTGGAACGTCTGAAGCAGGTATCCGAAATTTCAAAAGAATCGGTTCGGCCGTTCTCGAGCTTTGCGAACACATAAAAAACGGCTCTCAAAATATATATTGTTGTAGAAGATTGGTATGAATCTAAATGGTTTTGAATGAATGAAAAAGTTGCCAACTGTTCAAAAATTTAAATTCAAACTACTCAATAATTTAAATGAATTATTAAAATATGGGTGTCAATTGAAATGGTCTTGAAAGGGCTTAATTTCAAAACTACATATAAGAGGTTTCCATCTGTTTAAAATCTCAAATTGAGTTCAGGGGATAAGTTAATTGAAAAAGTATGACAAGTGAGAAGTTTAGGAACGGTTTAGTTTGAAAATATTTTGAAGATGCTTAAACAAATTTTAAACCTCCTGTTTTTTAATTGAGCTTCCTTGAAATAAATTTTACTCAATGTATCACGTAGAAATTTCATACACCCAGCGAAGCGGGTAAGGGCGATCTAGTATTTGATATAAATTTTAAGCAAATACTTTAAAGATGTACGAATTTTATGAAATGAAAGAAGCAACTTTGAATGAACTACTCCAAAAGGCCCTCTAAAGTACGTCCTATAAAATCCCTTCTGGAAGGCCTTCTA